AAAAAAGGTGTTTTCGTAATTGTATTCGCTATACAATTGTGCAGAGGGGAAAATGAAGTAAGGTGCATTTTCTTCCTATCCTTCCATAACTCAAATGAAGTATTTCTTTTAAGCATTCGCTTTAGGGTGGGCGGGACACATATACGTGTACACGCTCCTGCATGAACAGGGATAATGACATACGTGTTCGCGGAGCCTCTGATGATGTGACACATGATGGTACACATATTGGTAATCGAGTGTTTTTTTTTTTTTTTTTTTTTTTTTTTTTGATGGTAATAATAAAAACGCACTTGGAATGGTATCCCTCATTTGGGTGTAGTACCTTACTCCTCCCTTTTTTGGAGTTGACTTTCCATTTTTTTTTTTTTTTTTTTAAACCCACTTTTCCTTGCAGTGTTGGCAACATGAAGTGAGTTCGAGAGTTTCCAGCCATGAGTGATGAACAATACACGGTTGGCGGGTGTGCCCCCACCATGGCACATCCGTCGCAAGGGGAGGGAAAGCTTTTCCCCTTGTTTCCCCCCCTTTATTAAAAAAAAAAAAAAAAAAAAAAAAATGCTTATGTAAGTTGCCTGCTCGAAGGCACCAAATATTATTGCAGTGGGTGGAGGGAACACAGACTGATCTCCGTTCACCGCTGCAGCAATTGACGGAAGAGAACATCCACATTCCTCTTGCTGTTCAGGCGCGCTTCCCTAATGAAGGCATAGAGTATCTTCGTCCCAATCTCTTGTATGTACATGCGCATGAAGTTTTGATAGACCATGTTCTTTAGCTGTGTGGTGTGCGTAAGGGAAAAGGTGTGACAAGGTGTGTTGTCGTAAAAGGAGTAACAGTTGGGCACTCTCTCCTGCGGGCAGCGGTTACGTGAATGCATCATAAGGGGGGATGTGCAAATACAATTACTTCTTTGCGCCCCGTCGTGCCGCTCATCATCCATGTGGTGGCAGCACTTGACCTACCCGAAAGCATATGTAAAAATCAACGTTGATACATCCCGGTTTCTCTTCAATGATCCATTCAGTGGTCTAACGGGGGGGAGAAGCAATTATGACATGGGGCATCACTGGTGGTGTAGCAATGGAAGTGGTTTTAATTTTTTTGTAAAACCAGCTTGACGTAGTGCCATCATTGTGTGTATTAGGCGTGACTTTTTTTTTTTTTTTTTCTCTTTCCCTATTTGTGCATACCAAGTGGTTAAACAGGTTCGTGTCTGCGCTGGACACCTGCAAAAAAAAAAAAAAAAAAGGACAGCAAATTTAATGGAGACGTCGTTACGAGGTGCATCAAATCTGCCCACCGCTCCAATAGAAAATTCCTCTAGGAGTATCCCACCCCTGATGCACGTTTTACACAACCCCCTAACCTTGACGGTGGTAGGCACCTTGAACCGAATGACGGAGTCATATGATTCCTTGAACAGGAGATTCTCAATTTGGAGGACGGCCTTGAAGTGCTCCTCCGCCTTGTCTGTTATTTTGCTTTTCTGTGATAGAGGTGGGGGAGAGGGGGGAAAGTTACACACGATAAAAAGGGTTGCCTCCATCATGAACTCTTCATGCGTTTTGTCACGCACACATGGGATAGCCCCTTACCGTGACGTAAGGTAGGAAGTGGCTGTACCGATCTACATTCAGAACGGTGTAGAAGAACACATGGCTTTTGCAACTGATGTCAAGGTTTTTTCTATATATAATATTTTCAGTTGGGCTCCAAAGTTTGCTTCGAAAAAAGGAGAATCTTCTTTTACATGCACAGCAGCTGCTGTCGTGATGGATTGCACTTTTGATGAGTGCCTGGCTGGGCGAGTTCTTTTTAATAATTTGGCCAAGCGGCATCCCCCTCATCCTGTCGACATGGACGGCGGGCACAACACTGTGGGAGAGGCGCCCTACCATTGAAGTCGCCCTCCTGTTTTCACATCAACATGTATGAACGTCACGTAATGATATGCCATGTGGGGAGGGGATATATATCCATCGCCTTCGTGGCAACTGCACAGGTGTGACGATTGGGCGAAGGTTTGGAGATCGCCATCCGTCCAGGAGTCCTTTCAACACCGTTGTGTGCTTTTGTTCCTTTGGGGAGAACATATCCCCCCCTATGTGCTGTGCTAGCTAATATGCAAAATATGTCCGTCCAAATTAACTAGCTAAAAAAAAAAAAAAAAAAAAAAAAAAAAAAAAAA